GAGCTGGAAGTCTGGAGCTTGCTTAAGTGTCTTCTCATTTTGTTTTGTATTGTTCTGTTTAATTCCTAAGTTGATGCATGTAAATTGCCTATGGTGAATGGTTTTACTGATAGTACTTAGAACTCCTAGAAAATGACTGTTTCTTGGAGATGCCTCCATGTATAGCTAGTTTTTTTCTTTCTTTTTTTTTTTTTTTTTTTTGTCTTTTTCCTTTTTATTGGTACCGGGGATTGAACTCATGACTACCTGCTTGCAAGGCAGGTGCTTATGCCACTGAGCTAAATCCCCAGCCCCCTAGATTTTTTATTTCAATTGAGTCTATTTCAAGGTGCTCTTTCTTGAGCCAGGCATGGTGGCACATGCTTGTAATTCCTGCACGCAGGAAGCTGAGGCAGGAGGACTGCTGTGAATTTGAGATCTGCCTAGGCTATGAAGTGAATTCAAAACCAGCTTGAGCTATGTAGCAAAACCTTGTCTCAAAAAAAAAAAAAAAAAAATCCTCCTCTAAAAATGATTGGGGATGAGAACTATTTGTCCAGCCTATTTGTCCCAGCTCCTGGGTTTTTAGCACAGGCCTATACTATTTTGTAAACCAGGAAGGACAATTGATTACAACAAATATATGACCTTGGCTAAAGTAGTACAATCAGCAATGACAATAGCATCAAACACAATCTAAAAAATGACAAACTGTGGCAACTATTTATTTGCCACTTTTAACCATATTAGATTTTTTTTTTTTTTTTTTTTTTTTGAGACAGGGTCTCACTATGTAGTTAGGCTGGTCCTGAATTCACAGTGATGCTCTTACTTCAGTCTGTCTAGTGCTCAGATTACAGGAATGCCCCACCATGCCCAGCTAGATTTGTGACTATATAACAAAATCTAACATTGACCGGAAAATTGCATACAATAAATAAACTGTTAACATGGTGGTTTTACCTATAGGGGAGAAAATTTAAAAATGAACTGGGGGAAAAATAGAGAAATAGAAAAGGAAGAGATTAGAAGTAAAATTTAAGGGGCTAGGGATTTGGCCCAGCAGCATAAACGCCTGCCTTGCAAGTGTGTGGTCATGAGTTCAATCCCTGGTACCAGTAAAAATACAAAAAAAAAAAAAAAAAAAAAAAGCAAAATTTAAGGACAAAGGAAGATTATGCAAATGTTGGGAAACTGGTAAAGGAGACAGGAGGAAAAAAAAAGAAAGAAGGAATAAAAACAAGAACAGAACAGCAAGAGAACTGGAAACAACGTTCACATTCATATACAAATGAGAACAAACAATCAAGTGTGGCAGACCAGATGAAAACTGAAGTGTAATTGACCTCTGTGAATACCAAAACAAGTTGTGCTTCTTAGGCACAGGGATGATGGCACACTGCAGGTTCTAGGGAAATCTCAACATGGCGAGAAGAAATCTAATTATTTACCACTATAGATAAAGCAAGGCAGATGAGTTGTGCATTACTGTAATTGCCTGTACCCATGTCTGTGGAATAAAAGCAAGATGAGCCAGAGGCTCAGGGCTCTCTGCCTGCTAGAGGCAAGAGCCCCCTGGCTGGCCACATACTAAACTAACTCAGTGTCTCTCTTTTATCCTTGTTTGCCTGTGGGTCAGGGAACAAAGAAGCAGGACTAGGTCCCTATAAGTCATGCCTGGAGGGAAAAGACCAGAGCAGGGCTGGCTTCCTAAAGTAACACCTAGAACAGGGACTTGACCAGCATAAGCCCTATTTATTTCAAGTGGTACCTGGAAAGAGAAGACCTAAGTAGAGCTGGCTTCCTACAGTGGCATGTGGAACAGAGACCTGACTGATATGGACTGGTTTCCTACAATCAAGAAAAAGACAGAGCAAACCAAAACAAGAAAAGACAGAAAAAAAGAAAAAGAAGAAAAAAAAAATGTGTACTTTAAGGTGTGTCTTTGCTGCCACTGGTAGACCATGTGGGCAGGCATAGTGCATATCTGAGTTGATTAATCTCACAAACCAGCCATAGCTTTTATGGCACAGTAATGGGTAATCCCAGCAAGCCTCCACCTTTAGTTCCAGTGAAGTTCAGGCTAGTTTCTGGCTGTGAGGCTGGAACCTGATTTATTCATCCTGTAACAGTGTGCTTCCTGCCAGCTTGAACTGGGCAGCCTCACCCTGACACTGGGAGCTGCTAGATGGAGCCAACCTGCAGGTTCTGAGTTCTGAGCTCAGTTGGCCCCTTGCCAAGAGGGCTACTGGCCAATTGCCCTTTCCTGGGGAACATCTGAACCTGAATACTCATCAGCCACTGTGGTCTGCTGCACGCACTGCTCTGTTCACTGGTGCGTTACTCTGTGGAGGCCTGTGAGGTTGCCAATAGTCACCATGCAACTGTAGGTTCAAGCCCTCCCTTCCAAGCAGTGATTCAGGCTCAAGGAGAAAGTGCTGCCTACCACCTCCCTCCTTCATTGGTCTCTCTTTTCACTCTTTGCATGAGCTTCAATTCTTGCTTCAGATCCTTCCTTCTTTTTCTCTTCCTCATGTTGCTATATGCCAGCATGTAGACGCCAAATTTCAGAGAAACTCTTTTCTCTGCTGCTCACCAATCTGCCATCTTCCCCAGAAGTCCTAAAACATGCCATGGTAGGCTTTTTCCAACAGTCAGCTCTAAAAAATCTGTGATAACATCCGTGCCTAATGAATTATTTTGACTGTGAATCCGTGGATGGGAGACAGATCCTCATAGCTTTTTGGTTCCTTCAAATTAGAGCAACTAACTTTGTTTGAATCCTGACTTGGCCACTAACTTTGATTTTTTTTTTTTTTTTTTTTTTTTTTTTTTTTTTAGAGAGGATCTCGCTATGTAGTCCAGACTGGCCTTGAACTCATAATGTAGCCCATGCTGATCTCAAACTTGTAATCCTCTTGCCTTAGCCTTCCAAGTGCTGGGGTTACAGTTTTGTTTCTTTTGAGACAAGGTCTTGATAATGTAATTCAATTTGGCTTTCAACTCACTATGTAGCCCAAACTGGCCTTGAATTTGAGGTAATCTTCCTGAACAGCCTCCTGAGCTGGGATTACAAGTGTTCACCACCATGCCCAGATTTTCTAACTTTTTAAATGTGAAAACAGTTGTAAACTTTAGTTTCCTCCTCAATATATTGAGGATTATAACCTTTCCCCTAGACTTGCGAAATGTAAAGGAGCTATTAACCTAGGAAGCATGTAAACTTTGGAGCCTGCACCTCATTAATAACCCTCAGGGAGCTTGATGACAGCCAAGTTCAGAACTTATTTATATTGGTTCTGGCAAGCCCTCCCTCCCATCAGATCTGCAGTGGGAAAGGTGGGGAGGTTTGGGAAGGCTCTGGATTCTCTGTCGGTGGGAAAGTGGTTGCCCACCGCTTAACATGACGTGGATGGAAAGGGTACCGTTGAGGCTTGAGAGCCTCAGATGGGATGAGAACCAGCTTGGGATTCTTAGGAAAAAGTGCAAGAGCCTGGAATTGGCCTGGGGCTGTGTTCTGGAGGTAAGGCTGAAAGAGGGTTGGAAACTTCATGGGCTTCCCAGAGGCAGAAACCAGGGCTTGTCCCCTGGACTGGTAGATAAACTGATTTTGGAGAGTTATGCTATTTTTGCACAGCCCTCAGGAGCTCCTCACGACCGACCCGGGTTCAGTCAACAAGTTCCATTTAGCAGAGTGAAAGTTGTTTTCTAAATTAAAGTGATGCTCAGACAGCTGCCTGGAAGTTGGCAGCTGTGGGCCCCGGGCTAGAGACCTGTGCCTTTAAGGAGCTAAGGCTGGAGGGGCGGGGCAGGAAGAGGACTCTCGGGAGAAGCCGCCGCCGCCACTAGGTCTTTTCTTGGGGGGCAGGGAGGGGCCAGGCCCCCTGCGGACTCCGCCCCCTTTCCGGCGGCCGCGGCCCCCTTCCGCCCCCGCGGTTGGTGGGAGCACCCGCCTCGGCTCTTGGCCCGCGGAGGCGCAAGTTTGTTGACTCGGAGGGAGTAGCAGGGGCGGGGGCGGTGCTAATAATACCCAGTCGTTCCGCAGCCGCGCTTTACAGTTTACACAGCTGTCACCCTCGTTGCTCCTTAATTAATAATAAAAATAGCCGCCGTCCGGGAGCACTCCCTGGATGCCAGGCCCTGCGCCGGCTGCTTTACGAGCAGAGTCCCATTGAGTCTGCTCCCGTAACGTTATCCCCATTGTACAGGGCGGGAAGCCGAGGCTCCGGGAGGTGCCGGGGACTCCTCGGAGGTTCCTCCGCTGGTGAGCGGCTCCCGGGCGGACGCGGGCCGGGGGGAGGCGGGCGCGGTGCTGCCCTGCTCGGGAGAGCCTCGGGGGCGGAGCGGCGGGCGGGGCGGAAGGCGCGGGGTGCAGCGGCGGCGATGGCCATCTTAAGTGGCCGCCGAGAGTCCAGGGCCGCGTCCCGGAGCCGGGAGGCGCCCGCGCGGGCCCTGAGGTGGGGTCTGCGGCGGCGGCCTTGTCACTGAGGAGAGGCGGGGGTCGGGGGTCGGGTAGGGACTCCCTCCTAGGTGGTGCGCGGGTCTCGTCTCGGACTGCTGAACCCCAAGGCCCCGGCCTGCGGTGGGGGGAGAGGGTGTCAAGGAACTTGGCCGGGGTGGCGGGGCGCCGGCGGGCTGGGAGAGCTGCAGGGGACAGCGCGTGAGGGGCTCGAGGGCCTTGCGCCTCGTCGCGGTGTGTTGGGATCCCCCGCGGGATCTGTCTGGGGATAGACCCAGAAGAGTTTGGGGTTCGGGTCTTAGACGGGGCTGAATTTCAAGGGAGTTCGATGGTGAAGGGGGAGGCTCAACCTGAATCCTTCCTTTGAACACCCAATGCCGTGAGTCAGTAGGGGCGCCCAGTGGAAACGGTTTGGGATGAAATCAAACTTTTACGGGGTCTAGAGGGTCACCTCCTTGCGAATATTAAGACGGCTGACTTGTCCCTAGGGTCTCGGATCCCCGTAGTGTTGGGGCGCAGAACGGGGGACTTGGACTTCGGCGGGGGCTTGGGGACTACATACCCTTGGAGGGGGTGCAGGACCACTCCGGGACTTGGGAGGCGTCGTCCCTGCGAGCATAGGTGGGGGGCAGGGGCGGCCGGACCTCGGGCCGAGGAGGGGGAGGGGGCCGCGCGGCTCCGCGCGCCTACCCGCCCCTCCCCCGCCGCCTCTGAACAAACTTTTCTTTCTCTTCAAGTTGAGGCCGGCGCTGCAGGCGGCGGCGGCTGCGCGGCGAACCAGGCGGCCTGCGCGCCGGAGCGCGGAGCCCCGAGTCGCGGCTCGGCCGGGTTCTGCGGAGCCCCAGGCCCGGGAGCCGCGCGCGGCTCCAGCCTCGGCCCGGCGCTTCCCGGGACGGATGGCGCGGGCCGACAGAAGCAGGCGGCACTGAGCCCTGCGCGGGTCATGGCCTCGGCGTGCGGGGCGCCGGGCCCGGGGGGTACAGGACCCGGAGGCGCGCTGGGCAGCCAGGCCCCATCCTGGTACCACCGCGACCTGAGCCGCGCTGCCGCCGAGGAACTGTTGGCCCGGGCGGGCCGCGATGGCAGCTTCCTGGTCCGAGACAGCGAGAGTGTGGCGGGGGCCTTCGCGCTCTGCGTGCTGTGAGTGGGGCAGGGGGGCGGGGGCATCGCCCAGTGTGTCAGGAGTTGGGGGACAGGGTCGAGTGGTTGGGCAGTGGGACGCCAGCCCTGCCTCCAACCCCAGTGTGGGGGCTGGGCTTTATCCCAGGACTGAGGAAGTATATGGGGGGTACTTCCTTCCTATTGTGTCTGGGAACTACTTTCTAGGGTCTTGAGGACAGAGCATGGCCATTGGTGTTTGTGATGGGGAAAAATGCAGGTCCCTAGGGAGCCAGCGACCCTCAGGTAGAACCCAGGATGTGCATTCCACAGTGAGTGCAGTTCTGTTCCCATAGGGAGGTAGCAGAGGGCAGTGGGGCCGATTAGGGCAGAGCGTATGAGGATGCCTGGTAGCTTCTCTAAAGGTCTCTTCTGTGCTCCCAGGAGGAACCGCTTGGAGTCTGTCTGGCTGTGTGCCAGGTTAGGGGTGAGTGTTGCTGCTGAGAAGGCTAGGGGTACAGGCTGTAGGGAGCCATGTCATTATTTTATGAATCAATGAGTTGAGTGTGCCATGGGTCTGGACTTGACCGCCAGTGATTTGGCAGCTCTAACCCAGAGCTATGAGTGCTGAGTGTGGAGCTAGACTTGGCAGTTATGAGTGGGCCTGGTCTTGTGGCTATAACCTGTCAGCGGTGTGCTAGTGGTGCCGGGTGAGTTTGTACTTTCAGTTTTGCAGCGTTCTCCCTGACCTGTATAGGCTGTCTTACAATCTGACACTGAGTGGGCTTTTTTGGGCCTCGGATTGGGTGGGGAGGAATACATGGAAAGCTTCCAGAGCTGCTTTGTTCAGATCTAGTTATGTTCTTCTTTATTCCTGCAGACACCTTTCTCAAATTCCTGTTCCTTGTAACTTTCTATGTTTTCCTGACATCCTCACCGGGTATATCACAAATGAGATGGTGCTGTGTACAGAAGCCAGAGTGCCCAAGTGCCAACAGTGCCCAAGAGAGTCCCCCAAGGATTTTGATATCCAAAATGTCAGTAGTGGCAGAGGCAGAGGCTGAGGAGGTCTGGCCTCGGCCTATGATCTAGGGAAGAATGGTTTCTCCTGCAAGCCTCAGCTTCTGCTCTAAGTATGAGCTCAGTGCAGGGAGACTGGAAGTCATTGTGGGCCTGTGACTGTCCTAGGAGGCCTACCTCCCAGCCCCCTCTGAGACATATCCCCTGATTAGTAGGGCATAGAGGCAGGTGCTAGGTCAGCTGTTGAATGGTGGTGGGGACAACTGGGGCCTGTGTCTGGGTGAAGAACATTATTGTCCCATTAAGGGGAGAATCCTGGTTTCATTGCCAGGGGAAGACATGGATGACTTGAGAGGTCTGTTGGGGTGGTTGGGGAGAGGGCAGGTGGGTGTTTGGTTTTTGCCAGCTGACTGTGCCTGCTCCCTGTATCTCAGGAACCTGAGGTATGGATAAAAAGTGGGCAGAGTCTAATATTTCCCAAATAAATACATACTTGCTTACCTATATACACACTGCATGTACCCGAGTAACATTCAAGACACACCTCTACCCTGAAGGACATAGGGAGTCTGACAAGAGGGTATGGGCACTGCCATCTGCCCTGGTTTTAAATCTCAGCTCTGCCTTTTGCTTGCTCTGTGACCTTGAACAAATCACTTTTCTTTCTTGGGCCTTTGTTTCTCCACTTAGACTATGGGGCGTGATAATACATGCTTCAGAATATGAGAATTAATGAGATCTGTAGGACACTGAGTACCCAGCCTGTCATAGAACAGGGGTTCAGTTAATGGATGCTCTTACTATTATTATTATTATTGGTACAGTATCAAACTCACAATGTCACACTCACCAGGCAGGCACTTATACCACTGAGTTAGATCCCTGGCCCCGGATACTATTATTACAAACATTGACCCCAGTCTATAACACACCCAGCACAAACAGCCAAGAGCACACCTGATAGCTAACATGAGAGAGGAGGATGGCCTTGTGATGTTTCGCCCCCCTGGGGCCAGCAACCACTTCCTGCTCAGCACATAGACAGGCTCTGGGGCCTTTTGAGATATGGAGGCAGAGAGAGCCTTCCATCCCCCCACGGAGTATGTCTAGCTCAGCTGTCACCTGTTCAGCTGCTGCTGCCATCTGTCAGCACCCTTGTTGCCCCTCCTCAGCTTGGGGTTCCTAGAAGCGGGGTCTCCCATAAGAGGCCTTGGGTCATGCCAATTTCCTGGTGTCTGGGATTAGGGGTAGGTGGTAGAGTGATACCCCACACTCACCAGCAAGATTGCCTCAGACCAACAGATTGCCAACACCAACCAGCAGAGCCAGACACTAACACAAATACAGACAGGCTCATGTGTGTTAGCACAGTGCCATACACGCAAACAGGCTAACCAGTCTTCTGGGGACTCTTATTCTGGCGGGGGGCCCAGACTGGTACCACAGCCCAGAGGGGCTGTTTGGACAGCTGTGGAGGCCACAAAAGAATTGCCTGTTGCTTCCCTGGCCCTGTAGCCCTGCAGTGGGTGTGAGGTTTATGTAGGTCTGGGGCAGGGGTGTTGGTTATTCCTGCTCTTGTTGGCAGCTCTAAGAGGATAGAAGTTACTGGCCCTATCAATCCAGTGCAGCTTGGGCAAAGTGGTTTTAGGGAATCCAAGCTGAGTGGGCTGGAGAGCTGAACCTGGTAGCAGGAATAGGTTGTAATTGGGAGATCAGACTAGCTTGAGGACGATGGGTTCTGACCCCTGTCTCGTCATCAGGTATCAGAAGCATGTGCACACATACCGTATTTTGCCAGATGGAGAAGACTTCCTGGCTGTGCAGGTAGGAGTTTGAACCCCTGAACACTGACCTCGATTGAGCCAGTGACTTGGGAACCTGTTAGCTGACCCTTTCTCCCCGTTTCTTGGCCTTCAGACCTCACAGGGTGTGCCAGTGCGCCGCTTCCAGACGCTGGGTGAGCTCATTGGCCTGTATGCCCAGCCCAACCAGGGCCTAGTGTGTGCCCTGCTACTGCCTGTAGAGGGCGAGAGAGAGCCAGACCCGCCTGATGACCGGGATGTCTCAGGTGCTGTCCATTGCACAGTGTGCAGAGATCCCTTCCGTGCCCCTCCCCTGACTCTGCCTGCTACTTAGCATCCTAAGCCCCTTTTTTCCTTAGTCATGTTTCCCCTGCCCTTTACTCCCTTCTCCATGGAAGTCTGATAGCCGTAGTGTTTTTCCCTGCCTCATGGCACTGAGGGGCAGAGGCCCAAACTGCTGCTCCATTAACCCTTATCCACAGATGGGGAGGATGAGAAGCCCCCACTACCCCCACGCTCCGGCTCCACTAGCATTTCAGCCCCCATGGGGCCCAGCAGCCCCCTGCAGCCCCCTGAGACTCCCACAACTCCAGCTGCTGACAGGTGAGACCACCTAACCCACCTCTGCTGAGTAGCGAGCTCTTTTCCCTTCTGAAACTGTTTCCCTGTCAGTGGCTGGGAGACACTCCCCTACACCAGGAACGGGTTGGCATGCTGGGACGGTCAGTAGGACCTCCAGTAATTCTTAACCTCTCCCCAAAGCGCTCCCAATGGGTTGAGCACTGTATCACATGAATATCTGAAGGGCAGCTATGGGCTGGACCTGGAGGCTGTGCGGGGCGGAGCCAGCAACCTACCCCACCTCACCCGAACCCTCGTCACCACATGCAGGAGGCTGCACAGGTAACTGACATGACCCCAGATCACTCTGGCCTCTGACTCTGAACAGTGACCTAGCCACTGTTTCCTGACTTCCTTTCCTGTGTACCAACGTCCTTATGCTAAAGCTGGAAATGCCCTACTCAGTCCCCTTCCCTGGACTGATGCTGGGGTGGGCAGTTCTGACCTGATATCTCCCCTAGTGAGGTGGACAAGGTACTGTCGGGCCTAGAGATCCTGTCCAAGGTGTTTGACCAGCAGAGTTCGCCCATGGTGACCCGTCTTTTGCAGCAGCAGGTGGGACTTAGGCCTTTGGGACATGGGCTTGTGTTCTGGACCTGGCTGGGGACATCTGCCTAGGGGCCTCATGTGTCTCATTCCCTCCCTTCAGAGCCCACCACAGACGGGGGAGCAGGAACTAGAGAGCCTGGTGCTGAAGCTGTCAGTGCTGAAGGACTTCCTTTCAGGGATCCAGAAGAAGGTAGACTGTGAGCTGTGCAGCCTCTGACCCTCCAGTCACTGACCACTCCCTTTGGCCTAGTGCTGATCTCAGCCCTGCACCTCTGGCTTAGCACTGACCCCAGCATCAGCTGTCCCCTCTCGTCAGCATGTCCCCTGACCTCATCCTGCCCTTGGCCAGGCCCTGAAGGCACTACAGGACATGAGCTCCACAGCACCCCCGGCTCCACTGCAGCCTTCTACACGGAAGGCCAAGACCATCCCTGTGCAGGCTTTTGAGGTACATGGCCCAAGGGGCCTGACTGAGCAAAGGGTGGTTGAAGTGAAGGAGGTGCTGCCTGCCCCATGGTCTTGTCAGCAGCCTCCCCACCTTCTGTTGTGCAGGTGAAGCTGGATGTGACCCTGGGTGACCTAACAAAGATCGGGAAGTCTCAGAAGTTCACGCTGAGCGTGGACGTGGAGGGTGGGCGGCTGGTACTGCT